ATATAAAGATTATTGTAATTATATATATAATTATATAATATAACTTAATTAATTGATATATATATATATATATATTAAATACTAATAATAATTAAATATAATATATTTTTAAAATTGATTTGATGTTTATGAATTTCAAACTCATTTCAATTTCCAATACATTCAACACCCCCCTATAAGGGGTGCCATTAGCACCCCCCCCCTATTTTATCTTACTTTTTAAACTAATCATTAAATTCTGTTTTAAAACAATAACTGATACCTAAAATACATATTAAACCAATTAATTCATGAATTATATTTATAATTATTATATTATAAATATTAATTCGAAAATAACATTTTAAAAATCAAATCTCATTGCTTTCCGAAAGAACAGCATACGTCGTCTTCTCCATCCGCCCCTTCTTTCTTTCTCTCTCTCTCTGGAAAAAGAGTCCAAAAGAGACTCTGTATCTCTCTCTCTCTCTCTCACTGAAAACCTCAAATTCTTCATTTTCATGGCGGATTCAACTAAATACATTCCCATCAATGAAAGAAGTCTGGTTTCAGACTTGAAGCTGAAGAACATCTTTTCTTTTCAAACAAAGAAGACAAGGGCTTTTGCTTATGTTTTCATTTCTGTTTTTGTTGCTGTTACTTTTTTCTTAGCTTTTAATCCTTCACCAGATCCTTCTTCTCCATGGTTTTCTAATATCTTCACTGGTACAACTATTCAACCCAATGGTACCACTACAACTCCTTCATCTGCTAGGTCTCAGTTCTCTTCTATTTACTCTTACTTTTTCCCTTCCCAACCTTCTACTGTTTCTTCTAATGGCACTATCTTCAGATCTCAAACCATGAATCCTGACTCACCTAATGTGATTAAAGATCCGCCAATTGTTCAAAACCAAACTCAGAGTGATGGTTCGAACCAGACCACAACTGGGTCTCCACCATCTCAACCAAGTTCGAACCAGACCACATCTGGGTCACCACCATCTCACCAGACCACAATTGGGTCCCTACCATCTCAACCGGGATCGAATCAGACCTCTAAAACGGTTCCAAGTTTAGCTTCAGAAGCGCCGAAATCAGTACCGAATAATGCTACCGAAAATATGGTGAAGCCAAGTCCAAATCCCCATGAATCAATGCCGACATCTTTGGGAAAGGATGCTGGAAGTGGTCCCAGTCAAGGAAACGAAGATAAAGGCACCGCAAATAATGTTGCTTCTTTAGGAAAGGAACAGGGTAATAACGGGACGAAACTTGGAATTCAGGATTTGGTGAAGAATTTAGTCAACTGTGACTTGTTTGATGGGGAATGGGTAAGAGATGAATCATACCCATTATATAAACCCGGTTCTTGTTCATTGATTGATGAACAATTCAATTGTTTCTCGAATGGTAGACCTGATTTAGGGTTTCAAATGTTCAAATGGAAACCTAAGGGTTGCACTTTACCAAGGTATGTCAAGTTTCATGCTCCAATCTTCAATTTTAACAGTTTTTAGTTTCTGGGTATCTTTGATTATGATTCATCATTTAAGTTCATAGGTTTTTGAATGACTTGTTTTTGCTTATACTCCATTGATTGCATCCACTTATCATGGAGTTGATCAGTTGACAAAGCTCGAATTCTTGAAATTTTGTTCAATTTTAGAATTTCTGGTTTTATGAACTCATTCATAAATATATTAGGTTGGATGGAATCAAGATGTTGCAATTGTTGAGAGGAAAGCGATTGGTTTTCGTTGGCGATTCTCTGAACAGAAATATGTGGGAATCATTAATTTGCATACTCCGAAACTCCATTAAAGATCAAACCAAGGTTTATGAAGCCTCAGGAAGGCATCATTTCAGATCAGAAGCTTCTTATTCCTTTGTATTCAAGGTATATCAGTCTCTTTGGTGATAATCGTTCTATAGTTTCTTTGATTATTCAGAATGGGTTATTGCTGTATTACTCGAAACTTTGCTTAATTGTCGGTATGAATTTGTAGGATTATAATTGCACAATCGAGTTATTTGTTGCACCATTCTTGGTTCAAGAATGGGAAACCAAAGACAAAAATGGGACAAAGAAGGAGACCCTTCGGCTCGATTTGATCAGTAGCTCAGCCGATCAGTACAAAACCGCCGATGTGGTAGTCTTCAACACCGGGCATTGGTGGACTCACGACAAGACTGCCAAAGGGTATTCACGTTTTTCCAAAATATCCATTTAAGGTCATTTTTATTGTGGTATTGATCGTTAATGAAATTTGCAGGCAAGACTATTATCAAGAAGGTAGCCATGTCTATCATGAGCTTAATGTTTTAGAGGCGTTTCGTAAAGCAATGACAACATGGGGAATGTGGGTCGATGCGAATATGAACCCAACAAAAACGTCGGTTTTCTTCCGAGGTTACTCTGCATCCCATTTCAGGTAAGTACCATATTTTCCTCGCGTATTTAAGGAAATGATGTTAACTGAGTTTTCAATTACGAACATCCATTAAGTCAATAACCTTCAAACGACTTGATAACTGGCAAATAATTAGGGGAATTAACAAAAGAAAACGTTACTGTGTTGAAGGGTAAAATGCATCAAAATATAACGAATTCTTGTTGTTTTTTTTATATGGATAGCGGAGGGCAATGGAATTCTGGAGGAGCATGTGACCATGAGGTCGAGCCCATCAAGAACACCACTTACCTGACCCCGTATCCGGACAAGATGGTGGTATTAGAGAAAGTTTTCAAAGGAATGAAAACCCAAGTGTCGTATATGAACATCACGAGGCAAACGGATTTCCGAAAGGACGGCCACCCGTCTATCTACCGGAAAAAACAATACACGGCGGCGGAAATCAAATCGCCGTTGCATTATCAAGATTGCAGCCATTGGTGTTTACCCGGTGTTCCTGATACTTGGAATGAAATCCTTTATGCTCAACTTTTGGTCAAACAATACCAACAAAACCAACACCAAAAGCCTTAGAGCAAATGTGAATTACACTTTTTTTTGTGTTCCTTTTTTTTCTTGGGGAATATAGAATACAAATAAGAATATAAATCATTTTCTTTTTAATTTTTATTTTCAAGATTACCACTGTTGTTTATATGTGTAGAGAGAAGAAAGCTTTGGTGATTATAAATTAATAGATGCTTATTTATTATTTATTTATTTAAATTAATATATATGTTGTTGAATCAGAATCATCTGGTCTTTATCTTTATTAAAATGCATTTTAATTGATTAATATATTTAATATTAAAACTAAAGACATGTAATATATAAATTCTGAGTCGTATATCTCTAATTAATATTTTTAATTATAATATTGTCGTTAATCGGCCATTTGTGAAAGGAATATAACTTTGAAAAGGGTTTCTTGCTTCACATGTGAAGTTTGACTGATTTTTAATTTATTTAAAGTTTTCCTCCAAATGTTATTATCACATTTATGTTTTGCTCTTTAATGTAATATGCATTATATATCGCAAAATAATTATTAAAAACGACATCGTTTATTAGCGTATGATTTCACATTCAATAATACCACTATAAATATTTAAAATATAAAAACTAAATCATCTTTTTTTCTTCCAAAATATTATTTCTTTTGACCTTTTTATTTTATTGTGTTTACCGTTGATTTATCTTATTCTTATTTAAAATAAAATAATGATTTTTATATAGTATTTTTGAGATTTAAAAATCTGAATATTATACTTAAAAAAGATGGTTAAGAAGCAGCGTCGGTGATCCGGTGGAAGGCCTATATGCATCCCCCACGAAACCATCACCACAAAATTTTAAAATTGACACCACATTTAAGCCTTTCATATTCAAATCAATTCATATCCATAAATGAATACGTTTAAAGTTTTATATATTGCAAATTAATTAGTTTTTCGTTTAAAGTTTTATATATTGCAAATTAATTAGTTTTTCTATTAATAAACAATTTAACGCTTTTTTAAGCATTATTTAAAGAATATGCTTTTAGCTAATAGTTCGTATTCATTAGTATTATCTTCGACTTTTTCGAATGAGTTTAATATGACTCGATGGGTTAATTTTATATACAAGGTTTTGTATAGATTAAGGAGGGGAATAAATGTGGCATTATAAGAGGTTTATTATCTTCACTACCAGACGTATTTTAAAACCGTAAAACTAAGTGTATGAACAAAGCAGACAAAATTTGGTAAAGTTGATCTGTAATGTTACAGATAGTATCGGAGGCCGAAACTGGACTGGTTTGCAAGCGAGGACGTTGGTATCCCAAGGAGGGTGGACCGTGAAATCCCACATTGATGGGAGAGAGGAACAAATGTTACCTTGTAAAAGGATTGATATCCCTTCTACCAGACTCGTTTTAAAACCGTGAGTCTAGATGTGTGGACAAAGTGAAAAAAATCTGACAAGGTTGGTCTGGATGTTAAAATACATGATTGTTTGGTACGCTTGTTCAGTAAGCTTCTAAAGGAGCTTTATACAAAAAAATCAAGTTTTTTTCTTTCAAAATTGCCCCTTCCATTTAAAAAACACATCCTTTTATCTATGAAAAAAAACTCTTTCAAACAAAAATATTCTCGATCTACATAGACATATTAATCCACATAAACAACTTTATCCATATAAGGTTTAATGGAAAATCAACCAAACAACCTCTAAGTGTGCCAATAAATTGGTTTATATGACCAAAGGATAAATCATCATATTTAAGAGTGTTGTAATAAGTTTACAAGATGTTTTTTAGTGCCGTAAGAGGGTTTTATCAACATTTTTCTAATTAAATGTCGTATTAATTATTTTATAAAATATTATTTTAAAAAAAATGTTTTACAGAAAAAGTGTCGTATAGAAATATGTATTTCTAGGACAATTCTCAAAAGTATCCTACAGAGCAACTACTACAACTCTTTATTTTAAAACATCTTATTAACTTATTACAACACTTTTAGATAGAAAGTTTTATTGTTTGGTTATACAGACTTTAAGTCCTATAAAATAGTCTATTAATACACTTAGGACCTATTTGGTTGGTTTTCTATTAATTCATGTATTGATAAATTTGTTTGTGTTGATTAATCCATTTCTATAGATTGGAAAGATTTGTGTTTGAGAGGAGTTTTCCACAGATGAAAGGAGCGTCTTTTCTCATTGGCAGGGTCTATTTGGAAGAAAAAAGAATCGATTCATGCATAAAGCTCCACTAGAATCTTTACTGCGTAAACCATTTTCTATATCATTAAGTCACTATCAAACAATCATATATAGTTGATTGAATAAATTGTGAGTCTTGTGGCTTAATGAGCTTACCGGATAAATGGGCTTATTCGCACAGCCATTTTAGGGTGTTTACTTCGGGCTTATTCGCCCAGACATGGGCTTATTCGCGCAGCAAGGTACCATGACTTGTCCACATTAAGCCAAAAAAAAGACCTGTCTACCCTTCAACAAAACCCACGCCTCTCTTTTCTCCTCCAATAGTCGCTCCTTCTCCTCCAATCTTCTCCTCCAAGAACCCTAATCGGCCGAAATAGTTTCTCCTCAAATCAAGGCTCTCTTCTCCTTATCTATAGATTATGCTCGAATTTGCTGCTCGAATTTGCTCAATTTACTGCTCGATTATACTCGATTTTATCTGTTGATTTTGCTCGATATTGCTTCTGATTTGCTGCTCGATTGCTTTTGATTTGCTGCTCATTTTTTCTTCTGATTTGCTGCTCGATTTTGCTAGTATATTCTCGATATTTTTGGGTTTGTTTGATGCATCGATTGTTTTTAATATTTGCTTTATTTGTTGCTCGATTTTGGTAGTATATGCTCGATATTTCTGCTCGACAGGCCCTCCATTGTTGTYAATATTTGCTGCTCGTTTTTGGTAGTATATGCTCGATATTTCTGCTCGACAGGCCCTCCATTGTTGTTAATATTTGCTGCTCGATTTTGGTAGTATATGCTCGATATTTCTGCTCGATTTTGCCTATCATGAATTCAAGTCCAACATTAGCTGCACATAACTTGCAACCCATAGTTAATCCTTAAAAAATGAACAACAGTATACTAAACATCCCATAGTTAATCCTCAGGGGTAAATTGGTCATTTCTGTTATTCAGACTGTTGATTCAGATAGAAAAGTAAACAACAACCTAAATTTATCCAGACAGCCAAATTTATCCAGACAGACAAATTTATCCATATAGGACTTAATAGAAAATTTGGTAAACAGCCCCTTATTAAACTCTTTAAACTGCTAACAAACAAACTTTTAGATAATATTAACGTCTTATAAACTCGACCTTATTTCATTAACAATTTAAAACATACATGTAATGAATTTTTCGGAATTAAAAAAAAATGCGTCATTTTCTTGTTAATTGCAGCCGACTAGAATGGTTCCAAGGCATTCTTGGATCTTTGAAAAAAAATTAAGGTTATATATTTTCAAGTGTTTGACCTCTAAAGTGTAGACATTTGGAGCTTTCATACTTCAAAATTCCTCCCCAACAATGATTCTTAATTGTTTTGTTGAAATACATATCTTATTTTTTTTATCTTAGTCAAAAAAAATTATGTATGTATTTATAAGGTTGGATTTTGATGACAATGAAAATTAAGATAAAAAACATAAGAAGAAATCTTTACATTTGGATGTAAAGATGTATATATAAACTAATGTATGTTCTGACAATTGGACAAAATATGTGATATTACTTTAATCTAATAAAATCTAAGAATTATTAATTTTTTTTTGATTAACCTGGATATTCAACTCGCTATGCAAGCCGACTAATATCAGGACGACTACCTGTTTTGTAGATAGCCCGGAGTCACCGCATTTGAACATCCGTGGCCACAATTTTATTCCTTCTTAGATTTGAACGTGAAACCTTCTGGTACTTTTGACATTTGGAGCCAATTTCAAACCAATCAAGCACCATCCTTGTAGTTAGAATTGTTAAATTTTATGATTGAGGACTTCTTTTGATGAGAGTGAAAAACAAAGTGTTACTGTAAATTTATTAATTTTATTTATTTCACACAATTCATCATGATTACCATCTTATTAAATTTTTTATTGTTAAATTTGTTTTTCAACATGTTTTTATTAAATATGAGTAATTATTTATCAATCAAATTATCAGCTAGTCTAAACTCTAAACTCCGAGTCCATAATTCTATGAGCCCATGTTACATGGCTCAATTTAGGCCCAATGGACTAGTACATAGTACATACATTAATCATTTTCTAACATCATATTTTTGCCTTTTTACCTTATTTTTAGATATTAATTTTAAACAAAGTTAATTAATAAATTATCAGACATTAAATATTCATTTGCTCCATTTCAACTGATGGAAGTATAAAACTACCACTTTAATTTTGTAACGTAGTTTATTTTTTTTAATATGAAAACTTTCTGTTGTAGATTTTTTACTTAAATTAATGGTAGAATGAGGTTATTGTTCGAACATTTCAAATGTGAATACTCTTTTTTGTAAGAGTTACTTTTCAATAAAAGAGTAAATTCCAAAACCGGTTTTTCAGGCATATCAAAAATTTGTTTTTTTTTTGTCTCGAAACTTTTTCAAATTATATGTATATGTAGCACCCATGTTTTTGTGATTAATTTAGGGTCTAGATTTATGGTAGCAAGGCATTTGGTGTCCAACCAACCATTATGTAATGTTTGTGGCATTTAAATCAAGGGTCGTGGTTAACTTGGGATGAAAAAAAAGTTGCATCAAAAGCCATTCGGAGCATTAAGAGACCTCCCATGCAAGTTTGGTCACATGAGAAGTCGCAAAACAGCTTCAAAAACAAAGAAGAATGTCAAGATGGTTGCCACGCGACTTAAGTCGCTTCACAAGCTGTCTGAGGCTATGAAGTGCTAATTTTTATGTTCGGACGACTTTCCAAGCGACCTAAGTCGCTTCCAAAGCCGCCAGAAGCTCCTGGAAGGTTTTAAGCCTCTTTTGGCTAAGGTTTGCTCACTATCTCTTACCCACTTCATTTTTATCCTCCTCTTAGCGATTTTGGGAAATTTTGGCGACATTTTTGGAAGATTTTGGACGGGATCTAACTTGTTTGCTTCAAAGGTTTGTGTTTGGAAGGTGGATTGAGAATTTGGAAGGATTCTATAGAAGAATTTTGTTTGGTGGATCTCAAGTTCTTGAAATGGTAAGTTTTTGGAATATTTTAAGCTCTAGTATTAAAATCTTTGTAGATCTAAAATTATGCTCATTTATGGTTCATTTCTAGACTTGAGGAAGTGAGTGGTTTGGAAATCATAGATCTTTGTTGGGGATGACTTGAAGATGGTGAAATCTCTATTTTTGGAAGTTTAGGATTTGGGTTTGAATCTAGGTTTAATCTAACTTAGCAAAGTGAGTTTCAAGTTGTTATGTAAAAACTTTTTACATGCCAAAAATGTGTATTTTGGAGTCTTAAAGTGTTTTCTTTTAAGAGTTATCAAATGTGGTTGATTACTTAATGAAATTGCATCTTTTGCATATTTGGCTCTATAAAATCTAGAGAAATGCATATATCTGGAGTTTTTGGATATTTTGATAAATAAATCATAAAATATGAGAATTTTGATGATTTATTCCTCTTATGAGGATTATTTGAAGTTAATGCACTTTTAGTATGTGATTTTATAAATCATTCAAAAAATGCATATGATTGAGTTTTGTTAGATATTGTAGTATTTTGGGTCATGAGATTCATTAAACTCTTTAAATACGTTTTGGGTCATAAGATTTTTTAAACTCTTTAAATACATTTTGGGTTATGATATTTGGATTAGTCCAACAAGTTGAAGAGTCTATTGGTTTGACTTGGATTTGAGAAAAATACTTGTTTTAGGATTTTGGTCTGATCTTTGAGTTAGTGATGATGATTTTCATACCTTTTGGTGTATAAGTGTTGGTCCAAAACGGATTTACAAGAGTTTTAAAGGTAACAGTTTGTAGAAGGGGGATGAATACAAACACATAATTTTTACTTTTTTACTTGAGGGGTGTTTTTGAGCGATATCTTGAGCCATCACCTTAGGGGGATTAGTAGCAATACAATTGGTCACAAGTGTAACTAAAATGTGTTCAACCGTTGCTACGAGTACTGTTGTATTACATTTTGGGGTGTGTGCGTTGTTGTTTTTATTTACTGTTCTATAATGAAACGTGTCATCATATATTCAAGTGTTGGAGGTAATTCACTAGACATTTGTCTAATCATTTCTTTTATAAAACTGATATCATTTTCAGGAAAGTACCACATTGAGAGCTCTAGCAAGGGCAAGTGAAAGGTGTGAGCTAGAGGTGTAAAGTGAAGGCACTTTCTTCTAGTTAGATAGTCGCCTAGAATTTACTTTTAGTTATATAATAAATCTTAGCAGTGTTACTTTATTTCCGATGCAACTGTTGAGATCATGTCGTATTGTAGACTTATTTACTTGTCGGTTTGGGCAAAGGTTGTGAATTGTCTATTTTGAGTTTCTGGTTGTTACAATCACATTTTGTAGAACGAAAATCGATTCTTTCAACACGAAAGAAATCCCCATCTAATTGTGTTTGCTTGTGGTAACGTTGTGATTAGTTTTCTTTCTCACAAATGGACGGTCTAAAAAATATATACATAAATTTTATGACTAACATATTACATTTGGTTCACATATAATCTTAAAATAAATTTCTTTTTACAAATTTTTTTCAATAATTCATATATACATAGAGAGCACGTTTCAAATGCATCATATCGCATTTGTAGAACCAATGTAACTCAATCAATTGAGATATTTATAAGAATGACGAGTGTTTATTTATTATGATTTGAATATTTATGAAAGATAATTAAAATTTATAAATTATGATCAAAGTTTTATATTAGGAAACAATCGATATATTTATGAAACCAAATATTCGTTAGACTAGATAGACGGTTGAGATTAGATTGCAATGGTTGTATAATAAACCACCTCTCTCTCTATATATATGCAACGAGATTCATCTCGAATTTAATGTTCATTTTATTTTTATTTTTTTGTCTCACTCGATATTATAACATGGTTTTATGTGGTTTTGAAAAAACAATAATGTTATTATTTTTGAATGAAATATAAATTTGAAGATATCATAAAAATTAGAAAAAAAATTATTTATATTAGTACCAATAACTATTTAAAATTTCTTTTTTTTGTGTATTTTTTTTTATTTTTGGTTTAATAATATAATTTTTTTATAAAGATAATAATTAGATAACTCAATAATTATTTTAATTATATTTTTTATTTTTTATATTTAAAATGAGATGTTTATCTTTTGGATTATGTTTACCTGCAATTAGTTACATGAATTCAAACATGAAACTTAATTAAGTTGTACTTATACACAATTTACTTGTAGTATTGAATTTTAAGTAATATGTATAAATAAGCAGTACTTCATGCGTAAAAAATGGTTTTTTTAAATTTTTGTCAAATGTTTTATAGTATATATATATATATATATATATATATATATATATATATATATATATATATATATATACCTTCTCTTCTTACTTTCTTGCATATTTTTAATGTTGTTATTTGAACTTGATAATACTCATATCTTATACATTTTAAATGAAAACTCTAAATACAAGTCTTCCCATAAAAGCAACTTTTTTACTAGACTCTAAAGGGGTGTTTGAGATTGCTTATTTAAAACAACTTATGTTTTTTTTTTATAAAAGTGAGTATCAACTCATGTAGTGTTAAACTGGAGCTTTATAAAAAATGTTTAAATTAGCTTCAGGTCCGTTTCTGACATTTTTTAGGCCCTGGACATGTAAAAAGGGGCCCTTGATAAGTACAATATTTTTGCAATATATTGTTTTTATCATCAGAAATAACATTGAATTCATATAAAACCGTTTTTCTGAGTATTCATGGACGCAGAATCAATAAATACTCATTTCTAAATTAATATTATCTAAGAACATTTTTATGTAGTATAAGTAATTTGTTTCATCATCAAAAACATCTTATGATATACTTTTGGTACATAGAATGATATCATTTGGAGTCATAAGGTCGATTTTTCTGATTTCTGAATAACACTATGTAAATCATTGTAAATAGGTTGGTTTGTCATCTCATGTTAATATTTTTTAACACCATTTTAAACTTTTATATTATGTTTTCGAATTTGAGAAGATTGACACCATTTTAAACTTTTATATTATGTTTTCGAATTTGGGAAAGAAAGAAAGAACGAGAAAAGAAAAGAAAAATAAAGTTTTTTATTTGTGTTTTTAACAGAGAAGAGAGGAAGGAAAAATAATAAAATAAAAATAAATTTTGATATAATTTTTTTCCTTTCATTTTCTTTTCCTTTCTCAAAAAAAAATCTCGATAACAAAATATTTTTCTTCCCCATTACTTTCCTCTCTTTCCTACGTAAAAGAAGACTCAAGAACATAGAGTTAGGGTTAAGACAAATTTTTTTGGAATCATCGATTATATAAATTAAAAAACTCATATTTTAATATAAAAATAGAATTCATGCGAGAATGGAACAATCAAAAGAGTCGATGGGAGATAAATTATGGAAAATACATCAAAGTTTTCGAAGCAAGTAGTTTTAGACGTCGGTTTTAGATTAAAAAAACTTAGAAAAATATTAAATAATATTATATAATGAACGACATATTAACATTTTTATGTATTTTTTTCTCTAATATATTTAATTCATACATGTTTGGTCTTTAATAGTTAATGTAGTACATAAATATTTTCTTGTCATATTAGATACTAATTTTTTATGTGTCTTTTATTTACTAATTTTTTTGAACTACTATTATATATATTAAAAAATTTGGGCCCTAATCTTTATTGGCCCTGGATGTACGCCCGGCCCGCCCGCCCCGACAGCCCTGATTAGCTTATGGCAATACTAAAACATAATAAGTTAATAAAATGTTTGTTAATGTTTGACAAAATTTGCTTATACATGTAAACCGACTAAAATGACACGCCTCCGTCCTCCTCTTCAAAATGAAGAAGAAGACCATGATTCATCAAAATGTATAATCTTCTTCTTCATCAAAATGCCCTTTGTATCTGTATTATTCTACAGTCGTCTTCATAAATTCATCTTGAAGCATCAGTTACAAACCCTCACTGAAACCCACACCAAAAGCCCCAATCATTTCAGTGTCGTATCACGCCCTGATGAATTTTGTTGTTCCAGCTAACCCTAGTTTCTCCCAAGGCGGTGTTGCTACCAAAGTTATCCATATTGATCCTTTAACGTCTCTTTCTCTCCGGATCTTACTCCCTGATTCCGTCCTTGCCGACTCCCGGGGTTTGAAACACGGGGATGGGGTTTATGATGGTTATGCGCCGATTTTGCATGATAATTTGCGTAAATTGCCAGTGATTGTGCAGTTTCATGGAGGTGGGTTTGTGACTGGGAGTAGTGATTCGTTGGGGAAGGAGGTATATCTGTGAGAAGTTTAGTTTTAGGGTTATAAAAGAGTAAAACTGTAACTTGGTTTGCAATGCTAATAAGTTGTTTCTAACAAGTTAGAAGAGAATGACTTATTAAAAACTCTTTATTACCAGTATAAGCATTTTTTTCTTTTGCCCAATCCAAATACTAAAAACAACTTATTACCATTACCACACTGGAATAAGAAAATAAGCATTTAAAATAAGCAATCCCAAACACCCTCTAAGTATCGTAAAAAAACAGAAAACGTAGAACCACCCTGATTACCATTCATATGTACGGTATATACATATATAAAAGTAATTTTTTTGATATGCACATACACATAAAATACACACGTGTATAAAAACTAAGAAACATTTTCAATTATTTTTACGCACGTATACATACCAGAAAAAAAAGAGTGATAATTATGTTTCTCTCGGTCATTTTCTTATGGTTTCCCCACCCAACCCTACTTTACTAAATGGATATCCATATTATAAATCAAGTCAAGATTCATGATATGATAGTCAAACAATTTCTTTAGCTGTAACAGTTTTCATGGAAACAAGATAAGCAGAAAAGAAACTGAAAAGCAAAGTCTAAAGAATGATGAACAGTAGAAAAGACTCATCTTCCACCTAGTTTAAGCACACACATGAATTGACAATCAGAATCAATAAGCAATTTCCTCATAAAAGATCAGACATTATTCAGCACAAGAAAGATTTATATCAAGTAAAGCTAAAGAACTTATGTACAGAAAGTAGCCCCGCGTTTAACATAAGAATGCCACTTCCATGTACAAGAACGCAGGGTTCATTTTCAGTGCAAACGACGCCTTCTAGGTGCACGAGAATCTCCACTGTCAACATCTGAAACCCTCGAGGATTCGGTTCTTCTGGAGGTGGAAGTCGATACAGATACCCTCGAATCGATTTCGACTGCAGTATCTACCGTCTGGCTCTCCGACTGTATAATGGCAGCAATACTTGAAACAGAATCTCTATCCTCCACTGATGGGGTTTGTTCTTGATGGCCATGAAATGGCTGAACCAATCTTTCAACAGAAGTTAAAGCAGATGTCAAGTTAGAGATTACAGTAGATCGGTTTGATCTACTAGATAACAATCGATGGCTTTCCTCTCCCTCAGAGTTTGTTGGATTTTGATCCGTTCGAAATCCTCTAGAACTCAAATATCGATTTAGTAAAGAGTTGTTTCGTTCTGAAATTAATCTTGGATCTTCAGGAAGAAGAGGATGACCCTGAACCAAATCTCGAGTTAAATCAAATCGACTACCAAGCCTACGGATCATTTCCTCCATTGGCATGGTAAATGCGTTTCTTTGAATCGTTTGCCTCCAGCTCTCGTATCTTTTTGCTTGAGGCCGATGAGGGATTTTGAGACTCGAATCTTCCTCAATGACACGTGTCGGGTTGCCACGGCCGTAGATTGGAGTTACGGATCTTGTAGTCATCTCTCCTTTGCAAATCGGACATTCTTTTGCTTCAGAATGAATATGAAGCCACTGATAAAGACACGGCCAACAGAACAAGTGTCCACAACAAGTTACAACAGGTTCTCTTGCCATATCTAAGCAGATGTTACAATCGAAAAACCCGCCTTCATTGCCGTTACTCTTTGCAACGTCTTCTTTCTCTCCCACCACATCGTTTTCTTGATACCCGTTACCATTATCGCACATTTTAGCCACCTCCGGCGGTCTTCCATCTGCCGCCATGCTTCCCTCACCAGTTTCCGAACCGCTTCCACCCATTAACTCAAGAGCCATGGTTCTGGTTTCCAATGGGAAAAGAACCGGCCGCCATATTGACCGCCACCGTTGCCTAGCTATACTCCGATGACCACCGATTGCTTCCCTTACAGGCCCATCTAACCAATCTTCCAAGTTCAAAGTTCTGGGATCGTTTTCCGGCGAAGGATGAACAACAGGTCCCAAATTCAGGTCAAGATTCATTACAGTTTGTGGTGTCTCGTCTCCCATTGCAAACAAACAATCAATCCCACAAAAAGTTTCAGGTCAATCGAATGAAAACCACAACTGTTCACTTCATTAATCAAATTCAACACACAAATCCCAGTTTCTCGTGACAAGCTGATACAAAAAGCGAAACAGAATTCATATATCGTCCAATAAACACAACCAAGAACATAAATCGATTGCAATGACCTATAAAACCCTGATTTTCAATTTTAGTTTTAAACACTAAAACCGTTACTTGTTATAAAAATGGAATCATATCCAGATCGAAACCCTAAATGATTCCTGTCAAAAGAGGGGAAAGCCCTAATGAGCTTTTGCAGTCAAAATTACGAACTTTTGTAATAAAGAAGAAAACAAACAAAAGACTCAAAAGAAAAGGAATCAAATTAGGGTATTAATCTGGTAAAACAAGAAGTAGAAGAGTAGATGAGATCGAGACCTTTTAGATTAAGCGGGATTCGAGTTCTTGGGCAGCACGATCGAGACGTATTTGTGGCAAGAAATACCTGACAAGAATTCGACAAACCTCTCTCTCTCTCTCTCGATTGGTGAGGATAAACTGGATTGAGGAAGACGAGAGGCAAATTCAGCTGATACAGAATCTTGATGTTATTTAATTTTGACGTAATTTTGGGGATAAGGGTTCCAAGATTACACCAAATTATATTTTACTCCCTCCATTGTTACAATTACAACTATTGTTTGCTAAAGTTTCTACTTTGCAGCTTTTTTTGAGACCACAATCACTAAAATAAACAAAAAAACTTGGCCCATTTTTTAAATTGGTTTTATAAAATAAGATTCAATGTTGGATTTTTTTATAAAGTATTTAACAAAAAAATTTAAAAATAATTTTTTATGTATAAAGTACTATTTATTGATGTATATTACTTAAAATTTAAGTTTACAAGTAGAATGTGGATGAGTATAATACTAGAAGAGTATTCGCGCAATGCAGCGAGACACATCTCGATTTTAATGTTCTATTTTATTACTTGTCTCTGTCGATGTTATAATACGATATTATATGTTTTTTAAAAAGCAATAATAATTTTATTTTTGAATAAAATTTAAATTTGAAGATATCATAAAAATTAAAAAATATATATATCAATGTTAATATCAAATCAACTATTTAAAAGTTCTTATTTTTTATGTAATTTCTTTAATTTATTTATTTTATTATAATTTAATTTAAGTTTAATAACGAAATAATTTATTTTTGATTTGATAATATAACATTTTATAAATAATAATTAAGTATTCTGTTAGAACTCAATGATTATCTTAATTATATTTTAGATTTTTTATATTTAAAATGAGATGTTTATCTTGTATTTGATTATGTTTATCTGCAGTTAGGGGTTGTTTGTTTACCTCTTAATAGTTTCATTAAGAGGTAACTCTGAATCGTTAAGAGATGAATCTTGTTTGGCAAAAAAAAAAGTCTGCCTCTTAATGGTTTCAAAATCCTCTGAATGATTTTGTATCATGGATTTCCCTTAATCATTAAGAGCCCTAATTTCAGTGTACACAATTACCAAACAATTATATTTCATTTTGCACTATATTATGAGAGCCTCTTAATCAGTCTGACCATTTAATCATTCTGCACCAAACCATTCAGCAACTGCCAAACAACCCCTTAGTTACACGAATTCAGATATGGAGCTCTAAGTTGTACTTACGCACAATCTACTTGCAATCTTGAGTTTTAAGTAATATGCATTAATAAACAGTATTTTATGCATAAAAAGTGGTTTTTAAGAGTTTTTGTCAAATGTTTTATAATATAGTATAGATATTAAAGCTCCATGTTTGAATCGTGTAACTAACTATAGATAGAAATAATCAAATATGTGATAAACATCATTTTAAATATAAAAAATCTAAAATATAATTTGGATAATTATTGAGTTCCAACATAATACTTTATTATTATCCTTATAAAAAATTATATTATTAAATCAAAAATAAATTACTTAGTTACTAAATCTATATTAAATTATAATAAAAAATTGAATTGAATAAATTACACAAAAAACAAGAACTTTTAAATAGTTAATTTGATTCTAATATTGATATATTTATTTTCGAAACTTTATGATATATTCAAATTTATATTTTATTCATAAATAAAAACATTATTTTTTCTCAAAACCGCATAAAAACAATATTATAATATCTACATAGACGGAATAAAATGAAACATTAAAAACTAGATTTATCTCGCAGCATTGCGCGAGTACCATTCTAGTTATATTATAAAACATTTGACAAAAACTTTTAAAAATAATTTTTTATGTATAAAGTACTGTTTATTGATGCATATTACTTAAAATTTAAGATTACAAGTAGAATGTGCATGGGTACATTATATTAAAGCTCCATATTTGAATTCGTGTAACGAACTACAGATAAACATAATTGTAACACCCTAAAAATTTATGATTCGTAAAATAAATAAATGTTAAGGGTTAAAATTTAAAGAGTAAACGACATACGAGATTAAAGTGTCGATACTCGAAAAATATGATTTTATTGCAATAAATAAAATCAATAAAAAAAGTAAACATTTTGTATTTAATTGATTTGGGATGAAAATGCAGAAAGAAAAACAAAAGGGACTAGTTCTGCCAAAAGTAAAAACCTAATTTGGAAATGATTGAAATTTGGGAAATCATTCCCCAAATTCACGTTTTTCCTATTCTAGAGACCGTTTGACGATCTATAAATTGGAGTTTTCTGCCGAAATTTTGTGGAGACGTTCCTAAGGGTGTAAGGGAGTAAACGTTTTTGGAATTTCAAGATTTCATTAAAAAACGAGAGAGATATCGAGTTTGAAGCGGCATAGGGTCATTCCGCTCAAAAACGACGATTGGAGGTAAAATACTCAACCAAAATTGATATTGACCAATGTGATAGAGCAATATCAAGGGGATGTTAGCAAAAAGGTTGCACATATTTACATGATGCATTATTGCCGATAATAAACACAAATTTTTGGAAAAGACCATGTAATAGTAGGATTGATGTGGATGGAGTTAATCCATAGAAGATTCCTAAAATGCAAAGGTGATCTTCACTATTGTAGTCCAAAAAAAAATTGAAGTTAAGGGAAATCCAATTGTCGGGTAAGTTGGACCACGAAAATGGGTAATGGTTCCAAAGGCGACATGGAGCACAATATGATATTGGAAGGGGCTAGGGAGACTCTTAAAATAGGTTCGATACACCCGTATTAACAATGTCTTTACTTAGTAGAGGTGTAAATTGGTGATATATAAGCTTGGTGATATAATCAATAAGAAACAACATGTTAGACTAAAGCCTAAATGTATCAAATTTTGAGGGAATATCGATAAGAAAGATAAGTGGATATATTGGGAAATGTAGCATTGAATGATTAGCATGTGTAGTTTACGTCAGTCAATAAAATAAGATGGTGTATGATGTACCCATGGTGTGGGCGAGTATTAAGGTGGTTAGAGATAATGTATCGAAAGTATCACTAGGTGTGAGGGTTCCTCAAATTGACCTAGTTTTAGAGGGAACACATAATATGTGGATATTGATCTGATTTTGTCGTGGCAAAGAAGCCAAATTCGATGAAAAGATTACGAGAGCCTTTGATCAAGGATTTTATTTAGCTAATTAACACCTTGGATAACATTGACAGGGTGAGTTAAATAAATATGGTATGATGCATGTATGCATCAATAAATTTGATGTGTATGAGATCAATTACAGGAGCAAAGGTTTTGCCAAGGACGATGACCTAGTCGTTCAACTTCAAACATGCAGGAAACATGAGCACTACATATGGTTGGTATGGGGCTTTTGAAAAAAAAAAGGAAACTTTGTGTTAGTTCTAAGTATGGAAGTAATTGGTGAAACACAATTTATTGGTCACGGAAGTGGGATTTAGTTGGGTTAAACCAAAAACAAACACGATAATGGATTTGAGAATCCAAAGAATGGGATTACATATTTGAGGCTTATGGTTTTTAGCAAACTAATATAAGTTTCAATAGATATTTCTTAAATCTACATTAATGGGAGCTTTAACCAGAAGTCAAATAAGTTTGAATTGGTTAAAGTCAAAAAGGTGTTTTAGATGCTAAGGGGGAAGTTAAGCCTCGCACAGAGGATGACATTACCAGAAGAAACACAAGTATGGTATATAGTGTTGCATGTAAGTTGGGTTAAGATACATTGATGCAAATAAGCAACGTTAATGCTTACTCATCATCCCAGTTAAAATGGCAGGGGAGGAAGTGTCAAGTTCTCTAATATAAAGATAGAGGTAGTAGTATTTAAATTCAAGGGTTTGAAGGAGGACTATAGGTGTCCGGGCACTAAAAACAAAGTAACAGTAAAGCTATGCAGGGAGTTCTAAGACATGCCTTCCATGAGAGATGGAAAGTTAGAAACTATCGATTAGGCTTTAACAGATAGAAACTCCGGTGATGGAGTGGGATATGATGGAGTGGGTATTGTTGCTAAAAGAAAAGTGTACCTAGAACGGTACATTAAGTTACCTCACTTCCAACCGATTATTAGGAAGTGTATATTAAAAGGTTGACAAATTTTGGGTGGATAGGAAAGTAATGATGCATAAAGTACCATAATTAACAATTTCGGGTAGCGATCCAAGATTTACATCACGTGTTCATGCAAGAATTTTATAAGGGATATGGAAAATGTTGAACTTGGGCAAAACATACCATCCTTGAACTCATGGTCAAAGAGAGGAGAAATTTTAAAATTGTTGGATTGGTTGGAAGGTTAGATGTTTATTCTTCAAGGAAGTAAGCATCATAAAACGTAAATAGTAGAGTTGGTTTACAACATCAATTAACATTTAAATGTCCAAGCTGAGCCATGGAGGCATTTGAATAGGACATGTGTGATGCTAGTATGTTTAACTATCATGAACATGGATAGATCTACAAACATCAGTTAAACTTTGCATGAGTACACAAGAGGTTGGATGTCGTACTTAATAAGAAGAGTTACACTAATAAGATATGAAGACCAGTTATCGGTTGGGTTGGAATGACCCTATAATGTCACCATGGAAAGGAATGGTGCATTTCATTAAACATGGAAAGTTAAGTCCAAAATAAGTAAGACCATTCGAGATGATATCAAGGGTAGAGGAGGTGGCATATTGTTTGAAGTTTCCCGAAGAATTACAGGAGATTTATTACACATTCCATGTGGTCTAATTGACGAATTAACAATTTTGACTTAAAAAAATGTTGGAATAAAAAAAATGGAGATGGGACCCGTAATTGTTCGACGAAGATTGATTTCGGGGACGAAATCCCATTTTAGTGGGGGAGATTTGTAATACCCTAAAATTTATGATTCGTAAAATAAATAAATGTTAAGGGTTAAAATTTAAAGAGTAAACGACATACGGGATTAAAGTGTCGATACTCGAAAAATATGATTTTATTGCAATAAATAAAATCAATAAAAAAAGGAAATATTTTGTATTTAATTGATTTAGGATGAAAATGCAGAAAGAAAAACAAAAGGGACTACTTCTGCCAAAAGTAAAAAACTAATTTGGAAATGATTGAAATTTGGGAAATTATTCCCCAAATTCACATTTTTCCTATTCTAGAGACCGTTTGACGATCTATAAATTGGAGTTTTCTGCCGAAATTTTGTGGAGACGTTCCTAAGGGTGTAAGGAAGTAAACGTTTTTGGAATTTCAAGATTTCATTAAAAAACGAGAGAGATATCGAGTTTGAAGYGGCATAGGGTCATTCCGCACAAAAACGGCGATTGGAGGTAAAATACTCAACCAAAATTGATGTATAATATATGGTTGGCTTCGTTTTTCAGTTACCTTTCTGTTGGTACAAGTCTCATGGGCTATGGTGACTTGTACGTCGAGCGGTTTAGACTAGAAGCTGTTGTGGCGGCGGCTCGACGAGATTCGGGTACAAAAACTCAAAATACGAGTTTAATATTGAACCGTAGGGGCTGTAAATTTGGATACGAGTTGGGATTATTATTATGTATAAGATTTTGTAAAAAAAGTTTGGTAAAAAACGATCGGAAAAATATCTCAAACGGAGATCGTTCACGATAGCCGCACCAAGGGTGCGACCGGGTTGGGCCGGGCGTCGAGTTGAGTCGGCCGACACTAGACCAGGTTTAGGCCATGGCCGACTTATTTCAGTCGATTTCGGTTAGACTCGAGTTGTTTTGTTAAAATCGGTATGTGTTAAAAATAGATTTGGGGCTCGTTTATTTACTTGGATTCATCGAAATAAACCGGGATGTTTCGATTAAGTTGGTCAAGATTTGGACATCAATTGTAAAGGTTATTAATTAATTGGATTTTCATATTAAATTATAAGAAATAATTTAATAACTTATTTCGGAAGTTGTAACTAGATAATTGTGGGATCGGACGTTTTTATAACGAGAATCGTATATAATTAAATGTTGGGTTTAATACGTCGTAGTTTTATTTTGGATGTGAAAAGAATTCCATTGGGGAGGGGGTATATGGCGACGAGGTATGCTTGGGRTTGACCCGTTGACCATTCTTACCCCAAAGTTGACCTATTTGACTTTCGGGTTGACTTTTTGGGGAAATGTCAATACTCTAATTATTGAAATATAATTACATGTTATAGGATATTACTCAGRGACGAGGTTTAGCCAAACAGATCTATTCATGTGAGTATTCATGAGACTTTAACTGAGATGCATGCTTATGTACAAATTATTTGAGCATTATGATATATATTTTTATGTACATGTTTATGGGTTTATTACATGTATATGAATTATCATTGTGGGTTGCATGTTATTTCTTTACATGTTTTTTTAAAACATCAATTAGCATGTTATAAAAGAATTAATATTTTTGTCGGGTATGGGAAGGGGTCAAAAGTCATAGGGATGGCACATCCTAGAGATGGATGACCGGACAAGGGATAGCCGTGTAACCTGGGGAAGTGCCAATGACGGTAAGACCTTAACCCGACGGGAAATTAAGAGATCTCATTATTATTTCAAAAGGGTTTGAAACAAATGTGCATGTTAATTTATTTCGGGTATTGCTTATTTTGTGCATGAAAACCATGAACTCACCGAGCTTTATAAAGCTGACTATTAGTATGCATCTCAGGAGCTGGGTATTCAAGAACGGAAAAGGGCAAAGATTCTGCGTAGGAAATAGAACTTTTATTCGAGTTATAAATTATAATATCTGTAGTAGTTTAATTGAATTTATGTGTAATGTAACCCGATATGGGATGGTTTAGTTTTGAGATATTTATTTACAATTAAATTATTGTAAGACTTCCGCTGCGATAAGGCTTTATTAGCCGCTAGAATTTGGACTTGATTTTATTTTATTACGTGGCATCTTGTAATTGAAATAAGGGTATTGCAATAATCAAATACATGATAAACATTATTTTAAATATAAAAAATCTAAGATATAATTAAGATAATCATTGAATTATAATATAATACTTAATTATTATTTTAGAAAAATATATTTTTAAATCAAAAATATATTAGTTCGTTATTAAACTTCAATTAAATTATAATAAAAAATTGAATTAATAAAATTACACAAAAATGAAAACTTTTAAATAGTTAGTTTGATAACAATATCAATTATTTTTTTAAAATTTTTTATGATATCTTCAAATTTATATTTCATTCAAAAATAAAAATATTTTATTTTTCTCAAGACCACATAAAATCGCTTTATAACATCGATAGACTCAAAATATAAAAAAGAAACATTAAAATCAAGATGTATCTCGTTGCATTGCATAAGTATCCTTCTAGTATAATATTTATATACGGCAAATGGAACAAATAAACTTATACACCATTCTCACCTTTTGTGAATTTTGAACCCCTGACCTCCTAGGAGACCAATGACTCATATACCGCTAAGCCAAAGATCTTTTAGATTGTTAAAAATAAGATTTCTATTTATAAAAATTGAATTAATATTTGTATCATTAATTTGTTTAAAGTAAAGGATAATGCACGAATAGACAAATAGTGATTAGTGAAGAGTGATGTGGGAAGAGTTTTCGAAGAATATAAATAATCAATGTGTTTTTTCATATAAGAACAACATCTTGAATAACGAGTGAATTACAAGCACTTATGGGTTCTCTTTAGTCTATTACGACCACTTTTTGGATCCACTATCAATTTCACCTTCGACAATCAGCATCTTTGTTCATTTATTTTTTCTTTTTTTTTTTAAATAACATCAACGAACAAAACTCATTAACTGAAAAAGAGCTAATAAGGGTCTTATGGGCATTATGTGCACGAATTATTCCTTATCTCTGAATGTTCCCTCTTAATAATAACTGATATTGTGTTGAGCAAAAACCTATAAAGCATTCTAATCAAGGGGGTGTTTGGGATTGCTTATAAAAATAACTTATTGACTTATTCAGGTGTGACACATATAATAAACACTTTTGAGTGTTTTGGATAAACAACTTATACGATGGCAAACCGGTAATAAGGAGTTTTTAGAGAAGTTAAACTCTTCTAACTTATAATAAGTTGATAAATACTTTTATAAAAAACCAAAAAACACCCCACAAATATATTTACCATCATGAAAATTTCATATCCAATTATCCACATTTATTTAATGAATGTGTTCCAAACAAAAAGGAAATGTTAGAAAAAACAAGGGAGTTGACCTTCTTTAGGATACGTGTGGGTCTGTAAGTGAATTCTAAATAAATGTCGAAAGGTGATGTTTATTTGATACGAAACATAATACTTGAAATAAAAGAATGGATTATAATAAGATTCTTGAAAGAGACATCATACTGAGTATGGATCTAAACGAACCGAACGTTTAAGAAATCGTTCGGTGGAAAATTCGTTTATGTTTGTTAATAAAAAAACATACATGAACATATTTTTTGCTTGTTTAGTTAAATGGACGAACAATGATCTCGTTTGTTCATTTACATTTGTGGACGTTCCACGTTCATTCATTCTTGTTTACCCGGTTTTTCATTTTGTTACGTTATTTTTTAGGAATGAAATGATAGATAATGGTGGATGCTTTTATTATACTTGTGTGCGTTCATTTATGTCCGTTTACTTTCATTTATGATTATTCCTTTGACATCTTAATGAACAAACACAAACAAAAGCATTTTCTTAACGAACGGACATGGACACAAAATGTTCTGTTCGTTTACTGTTCATGTTTGTTTGTTTGTTTAGTTAAGTTAAACTTAGAGACAAATATCAGAATACCGATAATGGGTTATACGATAATTTTCGATAATTAATTATATTTTACAATAATAAAAAATTATTACAAGGTTGAGGATAGAATCATACAAGTCTTAACTAATTAAGACGAAATTTTTCCTCTAATGCCTTTGCTTTCTCCATTGATGAAGCAACACATGAAGCTTGGCAACCCCATTGAACTCCATCTTCCCTGAAATTTAAACAATAATCTGTAATTTCCGGTTCATCTTAAACGGAAAAATTCATCGCTCACATTTGGTTAACAAAAAGTATAATAATTACACATTTTTTCGTTGCTTTACTTACAGAATCGGATTCGACTCTTGTATCTCCTCCTCCCTTTGAATTCCTTTTTTCGGTAGCTTGTTCTAATTCCGTCCAAATATGAGCTCCGATCCCACCTGATGCGGATTTCTGACTGTAATTCGAACTTCTGCTTTTCTCCGATCTCTTATACGATTCTTCGAAACCTTGCTGTTGATTACTATCACCATCATGGTCATACATTCTCATTTCTTCCGGGATTGCCACCTCACGACGAACACCCGACTGCGTCTTATCATCATCATCATCATTTCCAAGCAACGAATTCTGAAAATCTATGGAAAAACATGTTTCACTAAGTTGAAAGCTTTGAATCCCATGATCTTGATCATTAGACAACATCATCGGTTGATGATCATCTTGTGGTAGAATATCGTCCGAACCCCTTGTTAGCAAATCGATTAGCTCATCTCGCCGCTGGTTATCGGCAGCAACTATAGGGTGTGATTCAACAGCCGATGGCATCGTCGACCCGTTATTGGTAAGAACACAAGAAAGATGAGAATCAAATTCACATAAATTGCAATGATAAACCCACCCACTGTAACTCGGTTTATCGCATAAATCACACTGGAAATCGTAAACCGGCACAAATTCGATATTAAGAGAGTGGCGATGCAAAGGGGTTTTCATAGATAAAGGGGAAGCTAAGCATAAAGTGTGGTAATAATGAGTGCATTTGGAGCAACGATAGTAGAATCCTTTAATGGAGTTTTGGCAGGCTTTGCATTGAATGGGAAGTTTGGAAGGAGTAGGGAAGGTTTCGAGGGTGAGATTGTGGTTGGGATCGGAAGGGTGGGTGACATTTTCAGGCATATTGAAGCATACTTGATGAAGGTAGAAACCACATAGTTTGCATTTGTAGTAGAACTTTCCCGGCGAGATGGTTCGCCGGCAGCCGGAACAAGTGGCGTGGACGTGTGGTTGGAGTTTGGTGTAATCTAGCAGGTGGTCGTGGCTGAAATGGTGGTAGCGGAGGTCCTCCGTTTTGGCCTCCATATTTGATCACTGGTTCAATTCATCGATTGTTGTAAAAACTTGAATTTATGATTTGATTTGGGGGGCATTGGGAGATGTGTTTTAGGCGGCCATTCGGCGGATCCCAAGAGTTCCTTTTTTTATGGAAAGTCCGCCGCCTGCTCTTCTTGGACGGCTTTTGTGTGTTTTTTTCCTTCCAAATTTCCAGATCATGTGCTTCGGAGTTGGAGCAGAATCAAAGTGTCAAAATCCTCGGGGGGAAAAAAACCTAATTATACTATCATCTATGTATATTTTTGAATTAAAATATAAATATAAAGATAACATAAAAATTTATAAAAATATAAATTGATAATGGTATAAAATTAATTATTTAATAGTTT